ATTCATGATATTAAAATTGTCGTAATAAAAATGAATTCACTTTATAATATAGTAAAAAAATAATAAATAAGGAAAAAGATGTGAAAGTGAGAAGAGTGAAAAATAAAAATGACATGATAAATAAATTTGTGCTTTTTTTTTCTCCTCCCCTCTTTTTAAAAAAATTTTTCTAAGCATTTTAATTATAATTTGTCTAAAATATAATCATTTTATGGTCCATATTCATGTAAAATAAATTCATTTTAATATAATAAGATTAGAATAGATTTAATATAAACCAATCATATATCTCATTTCTTTAAAAGGCTGGGAATGCTTAGCTAAGAATAAGTCAAGTTATCAAGAATGCTATAACTGGTACTAGAGGTTTGGAATGTGCGGGTTTTTAGCCAAAAAGTCAGCACACTCGTTGTTTTGAAACTTATTTAACCCGTCCCCCCCCCGCTCACTTGTAATTTTTTTAAAAGAATTTACCCGCCCGCTCGCTCATTTGCCTATAAATTTTGTTGTACCCGCTCGAATGTTCATAAATTATTCTAATGGCTAATTTGGCTCTTTATTTATTTAAATGTATTTTAAATTAAACATATATAATATGCAATATTATGAAATAAAACTATTATTTTTAATAAATTGAAATCTGTTCTGCTCATTTCGCCTGAATATTAAAAATTTACCCACCAATGCCCACCAATCACTTAAAAAAAATTTTCAACCGGCTCGCCACCCGCCCAATGTTGAAAATATTTTTAAAAAACCGATTACACCCATTCAAAGTATGGGCGAGTTTGGGTGAGCGGGTGAAAACTGCCCAATGCAGATCTCTAACAAGCACATTATGAGTATCCTACCAAAATGGAACTAATAATCTTCACAAATATCTACTTCATCCTTTTATCTTTTCTATCAGACTATATAGAGGTACAGTCCTCTATAATAAAATGGGTAGTCATTAGAGATCTGCAAATCACGACCCTTCCCGTCGGCCTAAGTCGAGGCCTGAGTCTATTTTTTTTAAATAATTTTAATTCGGACTGGGTTGATCCTAATATGTTTAAAAAATTTTTAAACACGATATCATTATATTTTGTCAAATAATGGATATATTTTAAAATTCTTGCAAGAAACAAGGCGATAATATTTTACAATTGTAGAATATTTTTTTACAATCAAAAAAAATAATATTTTTTTATGTCTAAATTAGTTCGGGTAGGTCAGGCGGACATATAATTTTTTTTTATATGAGGTCGGGCATTTCGGGAAAAATGAAAAAGAAATCTATTCTAGATCGGATTGGACTGGACAATTTTAAAAAATTTTGGAGCAGTTTGAAAAATTAAGCCCGATGCAGATCACTAGTAGACAATATGTATGGGATCGTGAAAATACAACTAAGCAAGATCAATTCCTAGTGGGTGATATCGTGCACCTACTGCGTGACAATGAATAATTAAAGAGTTTTAATAGATTTGGGAGTTTAACCCCTTTACCTCATTACCATTCTTGATATTGATGACATTTAGGACATAATAAAAACTTAACAAACAATGCAATTTTTAAAATTATTTAATTCTTTTTTATTATATGGAACTTAATGTATATCTTAATGTATACTGGTAATAAATCTTGATATTATATCCACATACAATCATTACCAGGGCTATGCTTAGATTTTTAGAGGCACAGGAGGAAAATGAATTTGCTGTTCTTTAAAAATACACTAATTTAACTAGGCTTAAAAAATCGTAAAATAACCATCATTTTTAAATTTGGAACCCTAAATAAGCGACTTCGAATTAGGTAATATTTATACAATAAGCTATACAGTAAAACAAAATATTAATAATCTGTAATAAATGACTGAATTAGATATGAATAATTTATATATTATTTATTCGCTTAACTCAGCCACCCTTCCTTTAATACACCTAAAAATAATAATTATTATTTTTTTGTTTTATATTTATTTAATAAATAAAAAAAAATAAAAAAAGGAAGTTAATACAAATAATTTTGTAAACAAAAATTATAGTAAAATATTCACTAAATTTTTAACACGTGTATGTACATTTATTTTAATAATTTGGAAGATATTTTAAATTTATACGAATAATATTGACTTTAAAAAAAAATACTCCCTCTCCCCCTCCCCCAACTATACTAATAAATTTTTATAAATTATTGCTTAAAATGAACCCTCTTATTTGAACACTTAGTTTTGAAAGAAATGGACTCTAATCCTATTCTTTTTTTTCACAATCATAATCATTTTCTCAAATTTGAGTTTTAATTCTTATTGATAGCATATGATGAATCTTGCCAAGCATTAATTATTTATCCCTCTCTCAATATATAAAATTTTATTGAATTATATATTGTATTTCACAGATTTATTGATACTAAGAAAAGGGTATCAGTTCAATTGGAACAAAGTGGAGGAAATTTTCAAAAAAATTCCGTCCTGGCTAATTTTTGACTTATAATCAAAGTTTGAAAAAAAATCAAAAAAAAATTGTTCAAAAATCTTTGAAGATTTTTCTTAAGATGAAAAATTTTCACCTATTTAAAAAAAAACTTTTATTAGTAACTATTTTGAAATTTTGTGTATAAGATGTAAAAAATAAATTTTGTTTTTCAAAACTCATTATAAAGGATGTGAAATAAAATATCAAAATAAATTTTTTTTTCATTGCTAGATTAATTTTCAACAATAAATTTTTTTCAAAGATTAGAATCAGATTCGAATTTTATAGCAACCGATCCAAAATATTTAATAATGGTTTGTTATAGTATAATGTTTTCAAGGAAGGAGGAAGAACGAAGAGACATTAAGAAGGGAGGGAGGATTGGTATTTTATTCAAAAAAATAATATTTTATAAAATCATCAAAAAAAAATTAATTTTTTCCATAAACTCAAGACCGACTAAAATCTAGTGTTAAGATCAAGATTTGACCCTGACCAAGTAGTAAGCCCGATTCTAATATAGTCAGATCAGGCAGGTCAAAGCAAATGCTCTTATACATATTAAAAATATTAGTAATTTTGTATTTCCTTTAAATTGTAAAAATAAGGTTTATATTTTAAAAATTGTTTATTGAGCATCTTTGATATAATATTAAAAAAAGTATATAAAATTTTCAACTCATGTTTTTGTTATGAAGTTCGTCTGAGTTTTTTTTATTAGTAAAAAAATTTTATTAAAAACAAATTTTATACAAAATATTACATACATAATATAGTTAATTTTTTTTTCTTCAAATTTTATTTCTAAAAATCTTGCCAATACAAGCATAAATAATTTATCATTTCCTTTTTATTTTACACGTATTTTAAGAAAAAATTATTATTTTATCGGAAGGAACAAAATACATCAAATAATAAAGAAAAAAAAGATGAAAGTATAGTTTAATAATGAGATATTTAAAGCCCGACTCGGCTCCCCCAAAAAACCGGCCAGCGGGTTGGGAAAATATTTGGAAAAAATATTACAGGTCGGGCTTGACAAAAAATTTAACGAGGAGCCAGGCAGTTTAATCATAATTAGTTTTAGAGCTTGATGGGGTCGGAAAATTTATGCAAAAAAATATCAGACCGGGCCTTGCGAATGTTTTTTAGTAATTTTTAAATGGGCTACGAAAAAAAAAATTGTAGAGATAAAAATTTTACAGAAAATTTTTTTTTAATAATTAAAATCTTTGGAAAAAAAATAATATCTATTAAAAAAGAAAATATAATTAATAAAGTGGATATAGCATTTTTAAGATGACTATTTGTTGATAAGATCTAAATTTGTATGTCTTTAAATAAGGTAAATATTTTGAAAAGTAAGTGGACAATACTAAAATAAGAAATATTTTTTAATAGGTCTATTTTGGGATCCCTGCATATTAAGGCTAGAATTAATTATGCTTGATAATCTATTAATAGTTTAAATGATCTAATATATTTGTCAAAATAATTTTAAATTTAAAAATGAACGAAAATAATTCCTAATGATATACTAACTAAAAATATTAATTATTCTAAAATAATTGCCGAGTATATCTGTTCCATAATGACCTTTAGAAATTCTTGAAAATTTATCAGAGACTTGAAAGTCATACCCTAAGCCCAGCTAATTTTTTTAAATATACCCGGACCGGGCCTAAAAATTTTTAACCTGGACCGGGCCGGGCCGAAAATAATTTTTAAAAAAAAATCAAGGCCGAAAAAATTTTAAAAAATATTCCGGGTCAGGCCGTATAAATGGTACCTGCAGATCTATGAAATTTATTATGTCTACTACTTTCCCATAAGGTTTTTTAGAAGAGTTTGCTTTCGTATTTCATATAAATTTTTGACATCTCCCATAGAAAATTGAAAAAATAAATTTTTCAAATAGAGAAATTAAATCTCCTCCTACCCCCTTTATTTAAACGGAAGGTTCAATGTTGACATACTTTAGTATATTATATTATTTGGAAGTATCAATTGGTAGATAAACTTTACATTCAAAAAATATATTTTTTTCGAAGAAAATAATATTTAACAATGATATCCAAGTTATCATTTTTATTAAAATAAAAGTGCCTATAGTTTTTGAATTACATATTATATAACCAGCGTTTTAGAGTCTTCCAGTTTTGTTTCCCTATTTTAAATATCGGGTGATCTCATATGGTCACTTTAAAAAGGTTTCATTTTGTTAAACTTTATTACAATTAAATGAAATATTTAAAAACATCATCCATTTTTTTTTAAATACATTAATTTTGATTTTATTTACAAAACATAATAATGAAAGTATATTATTTGTTTCTTCTTCTTAATTCGTAGAATTTTTATTAATAGTTAGCGTTTTTCTAGGAAAATTGAATATATTCATTAAAAACAAAATATTTGTTTACAATATTAAATAATAGATAAAAAAATAATAATAAATAAATAAAATAATAATTCAGTTGAAGGATATTATAAATACTGGCTCGTTTTATTAAAATCTTTATTAAATAATTTTTCTTTAAATTTTTTTATTAAACTTGCTAAATTTTGCTTGATTTATTATATTAAAAATTAAAAATAATCTTTACTAAATCAAAATGAATAAATCTTTATCAATTTTACTCTTGATTGTTCTGATTTTCGGCCAGTCCCAAGGTAAATAAAATAATTATTAAAGTTATAAATATATGTTCTTATTTAATTTTTTTTATTTAGCTGCTGAAGGTAAATATGTAAAACTTTGTATAACAAATATAAGAAGATCATTTCAATTATGCATTTTTACTAGGATTTTCCAAATGAGAAATAAAATTCCTCAAATTTTTTGAAAGATTAAATGATAAATAAGATAATACTCACATCATAAATGAGCGAATAAAAAGAGAGAAAAAAGGAATGGTAATTAAATTAATTATTTATAACAGAATTGTAAAATTAAAGGAATCTCTGAACTTCAAAAAACCTGTAAAACATTAATAGAATAGTCTTGTTTCTTTATATATATACATGAAATCTGAGAATATAGACAGTCTACGAAAATTTAATATTAATCTATAAGAAATTTTCCTCAAGCTTAAATATTTTTTATATAAATTATTTTACATATTCTGCAATGATTAAATTTTTTTAAATCAGAATTAATTTTAATTAATTTTATTTTCAACTTACTAGATTATAAATTATTATATAGTAAAGTAAAACTAATTGTTAAGGAACCAAATTCAAATTTAATCTATTGGATAGATTAAATTAACTAAAACATTTTTAGTAATATTGGAAATTATTTGCCAAAATTAATAATACGAGAGAACTAAAATTATACAAATTTCATCTTTTTTAACAAAATATAGATGACAAAGGTAATTAATTTTAATTAAAATTTTACACACTCTGAACTTCAAAAAATTTGTGAGACATCGAAGATAAAAAAAATATTGTCAGAAATATTAATGATATTTTTTTTAAACTTAATTTTTAATATAAAATTTCCCAAGTTTATATATTTTTTAAATAATTGTTAATTTATTTAAATTAATGTTATGTTATTTAAATTAATGTTATGTTATTTTAACTTTTTATAAATATTTAGAGTAAAAATTGGAAAAAAAATTTAAATTTGATGCTTCAAACTGTTGAGTAGATTGTTTTATTAACATTTTTAGTATATTAGAAATTATTTCTCAAAATTGGCATCACTTTCCGGGGAAAAAATTATACAACCACTAAAATATTAAAAAATTAAAATTGTTTATTTTAATGATTTGAATACTTATAATGGACACATTAAATATATTAATTAGCGAAATAATTTTACGAAATAATTTTAAATATATAGTAGTACTATTACTATATAATAAATTGTATTAATTTTTACCTTTATATTCAATTAAGAAGTATAAAAAGATTTTTATCAATGTTAGAAGAGTCTTGTTCCTTTAAAAAAATAAATAAACATAAGAAAATTTAATATTAATTTTTGAAATTTTTTTTTACTAAAGCTTAAATTTTTATATTAATTACAATTAATATTATGCAATCATTAAAGATTTCAATCAAAATTTACTTAAATTAATATAATTTTCTGCTTATTTATATCATTTTTTTCAAAAAAGAGATTTAAAATTAATATTATGCAGAAATTAAAGAAATCGTACAATAATTCATTAAAAATTTTAAATAAAATAAGAATATAGCTAACTGAATTTTTCAAATTGTATTTTTAATGTTTATCAATAAAATCTAAATAACTAAATTAATTAAAAATTCAAATTTGATTTATTTTATAATAATTCAACTTATCTATAAGTAAAAAATTAGGATCCATCATAGTTACTTAATGTAAACATTTCTTTTATTTTTTAAAAATTTTATATATTTAAAATAACATGTAAACTATTTGTAAAATAAAAATTATATAAAAACTATATTAAATAAAATTAATAAAAAAAAGAATAAACAAATTTTTTTATATATTTAGTTGTATATCATCTTGAGCAAATAAAAATAAGATAGATAGAAATTAATTCTAATAATAATCAAATTTAATAAATACAAAAAGAAACAAATATTAAGTTCAATTTCTATATATAATATTGAGTAAAAGATGCCAAAAATAAGATTTTGAATTTAAAAAAATCTTAAAAACTTATATTTTGAAAGCTTCTCAAATTATTCACCTTTTATTTCCATTAATTATTAAAATGGAGTAATTTTGAAGATAAAGTAATTCTCTGAAATAAATCTGTGATAAGCTAAACTAGATGGAAAGGACTATAATGATTTTATTTTTTTTTCAAATTAATGAATAAAAGAATAAATATATAGAATAACTTGAAAGTGATGTGGTCTTTTTATTTGATAATATGGTTAAACAAGTGATCTTCTTATTGAATAATATGGTTATACAAAAGAAAATAAAAATAAATAAATTTTTATCTGTAGTAAATCAAAAATAATCATTCTTTATATATCTCGAAAATCAATTGTTTCCAATCACGTTATATAATTAACAACCTTTAATATATTATTACAATCTAAATATATCTTCTTTTCGCCTTAAGTGAAACATTTGTCAAAAAATAATATTAAACATAAATGTAATTGAAAACACCACTTTAAATACATAATATAAGTTGTATCATACAACACAAATAAAAACCATATATTTTAAATCTTCATAAGGCTTATTATCTTGAGAAAAGACAATTTATCTAGCAACGATATTTAAAATAAATAAAAAAAACTTTAATTATGACATTATTGGTTTAGTTATCTAGTACATATTCTTTATTTTTTATACTAAAAAATCTCTTATAACTTTCTATGATTTGTTTTATTTATGTTTATATTATTGATAAATTATTTAACCGAAATCTTTTATATTATAAACTTCTTTTCTTTAAATTATATTTAAACAGTTGAAAAAGCTGCTCAAATAGGTAATTTTTTGTATTATATCTTAAAACATATATAAAACTTAAGAGTTTGAATCTCTTTTACTAGATTTTTATTTCACCGTCTAATAAAACTAAAATCATGAGAGATATTTGTTTTGTAAATTAAATCAGACGCGTGCGCAATTCGAAAGCCAAAAATTAGAGATAATGGCTAAAATATTTTTCAAATATATTATTGACACCTACATGTTATAGCATTTATATTCAAATTTGCATTTATTTATCATATTCACTGAGAAATTAATATGCTACTAATATATTCCATGAATATCGATTCCATATTTACTTAGCATTATATTGATCTAACATTTTGAAATTTCTCACAAAATTATTTAAAACATTTTCACTGCAATTCTAAAGTAAAATATTTTTTTAAAAAAGACATCGATTTTATTGAAAATATATGAGAATAGCTGATATATTTGAACTTGTAGAAGTTAGAGCATAATATATGACGAATTTAATAGATTATATGTTAATTGTTGATTCAGAAACGTTCGAGTTTAATATTTGCCTACGATTCGCAGCAAGGTAAGCGTAGGTCAAAGAATCTAAAATAAATCTCTTTGTCTCTCTCTTGTATACTTTTATGACCCAAATGAATGGGTTTTGATTAATCAGTCACTTACGAGTTTCCAAATATTATTACGCAGAATCCATTTCAAATCTGTTTAGAGGAAAAATGAAATATTTGGGATATTTTTATTGTGAGGTGAGATGTTAAAGTAGCATTAAGCATTACTAGCTGATTGCCAATTGTATTATAAAAGGTTAGATAAGGTTGATAATGGTCCAAAAGATATTATAGATGCATTGATTAATTTCCAACAAATTTTTATTATTCTCTTAATATATAAAAATTATTATATATTTTGGCAATTATATATAGTAGTACTACCAATAAAAGAACATTATAAGATTTAAAAAAACATACCTGAGAAGTAGTGGTTGTTTTAATAGGCTAGATTTGATCCGATTTTTAAAAATGGCTATTTAATATTTTAGCAAATATTGCCAAAGTCTCGAGATTTTGCCAACTTGGTAATACGACATTCTTTAAAAAAAATTTAGAGGAAAACAGTAATAAATTATAAATTTATGAATTCCACTCTGAACCTCGTAAAAACTGAGACATCGAAGATACAATAGAAATCAGAAACATTAATGATATTTTTTTAAACTTATTTTTTTAATATATTTAATTAAATTAAGCCAAAAGATATGCTAAAAAAATTTAATATTAATCTATGAGAAATTGTCTCCTTTAATCTCCTCGCCTTGACCTGGGTATTTTCTTCGCTATCATATACTCATAAATTCTCACATTCTCTAATATTTTCTAAATAATTGATATTTTTTATATAAATTATTATTCTTATTCTGCAATAATTAAGATTTGTTTAATCAGAATTTAAATTAATGAACTAAATGAATTGTCGACTATTATATAGTCAAGTAAATCTAATTTTTAAGGAACCAAATTCAAATTTGATCTGTTGGATAGATTAAATTCGTTAAAATATTTTTTAGTAAAATAGAAAATTATTAGTTAAAATTGGTAATACGACAGAACTAAAATTATACAAATTATATTTATTTAAGAAAAATTACAAAAGGAAGGTAATTAAAATTAATTATAAATTTATGAATTTAACTCTGAACCTCATAAAAACCTGTGAGACATTGACGATGAAAAAGAATTATCAGAAACATTAATATTTTTTATATATATTTTTAATATATTTTATTGAATTAAACCAAAAGATTTGCTAAAAAATTTTAATATTAATATGTAAAAAAATTTCCTCAAGCTTATTTATTTTGAAAATAATTGCAAATTATTGTTACTTTTTGAATTAATTATTTAGAGTAAAAAAATTAGGAAATAAATTCAATTTGATATACTTCAATCCGTTGGGTAGATTGTTTTAAAAGCATTTTTAGTGTATTAAAAATTATTTTTCAAAATTGGCATCACACGCTAGGGAAAAAAAATATGCAACCACTAAAAGGAGATATTAAAAAAATAAAAATAAATTGTTTATTTTAATTATTTGAAATACTAAAACCGGATATATAACTATATTAATATTCGAAAACATTTTAAATATATAGTATTTAACTCAAGAATAAATTGTATTTATTTTTACCATTATATTCAGCATCCAAATATACATACAATAAATATAAAAACCTAATTGATTCATTAAGGAGTATAAAAATTTTTTTATCAATGTTGGAAGAGTCTTGTTCCTTAAAAATAAATAAACATGAAAAAATCTAATATTAAATTTTAGTAATTTCTCACTAAAGTTAAATTTTTAATTAATTACTATTTATTTTATAAATTACAATTAATATTATGCAATCATTAAAGATTTCAATTAAAAATTATTTAATTTAATATAATTTACTCTTATACCATTCTATGATTCGTTTTATTCATATAACAAACTTTCTTTCTTTAAATTATATATGAACAGTTAAACTAGCTGATGAAATATGTAATTTTTTGTTTTATTTTTATCTCTTTTACTAGATTTTTATTTTACCTACTAAAAAATTAAAATCATGAGAGATATTTGCTTTACATTTAATCAAAAGCCAGGCTGGGACAAAAGGAGGGGAAAAAATTTCTCCTTACCCAAAGCCAAAAACTCCAGATGCCGGCTAAAATATTTTTAAAAAATATTATTGATTGTTATATCTTATCGCATTTATATTCAAATATGCATTTATTTTTATTTTCACAGCAGAAATTTATATTATTTCATTTTCACTGCAATACATATTTCAATAAAAAGATATCGATTTGATTGAGAATATAAAAATAGTTGATATATTTGAGCAATGTATATGAGCAATTTCATATAATATATGTTAATATTAGTCAAAAGCAGAGTTCTATGTGAATTTAATATTAACCCGTGCTAAGGCAAGTTCTCATCATTCTAATATGTATGGGTTGATGAAAGAATATAAAATAAATCTCTTTGCCTCCCTATCTACCTTTTTAACCCAAATGAATGCAAGGTTTTGATTAATCAGACATTTACAAGTCTGCAAATAATATTAAGCAGTATTCCTCCAAATCTATTTCAAATCTGGATAGAGGAAAAATTAAATATTTGGCATATTTTTATAGTAAAGATGTTAAAGTAGCATTATGCTTTACTCTCTGAATGCAAAATATGGTATAAAAGGTTAAATATGGTAAATAATGGTCAACAAGGTGCATTCATATTACAAAACTATCAGGGCCGTAGCAAGGAATTTTTAACTAAGGGTATCAGCTGCTCACTATTTTTTAAAATAAAACAAATAGTTAAGCATTCATAGAAATTTTGATATTTTTATTAACAATTTATTAATGTAATATGAATACAAAATAATACTATATATATGACGATTTTTATTTATAAATTTTAACATAAATGAATTAAAGGATATTATATTATTTATTTAACATAAGCCATCAATACTAAATTTTGATTACGTTGATTTTTCATCGACTCTCTAGTGCTCGATAGAACTATCTTTATTGTAGAGAAAGAGGTCACACAAGAAGCTGTTGGTACCCTAATGATGATGGCTGCTGAGTAGCATTTATACACTTCTTTAAATGCATGATTTTTTTACATAATATTTAGGATATTTTTAAAATTCTGTGTTTATTTAACTTCTACAACTAATAATCCTTTAGCGATTTTCATTTCATGATATACATTCCATATTTAAGTTTAATAATGATTCTAATCGGGCCATTTTATCCGATATAAAATAATCAAAGTCAAAAGGAGACAATGTATTAAAACATGATAGAAGATTATAGTCATCTTGTGTAAATCTATTTTAAAAAACGATCAACACAAAGTAATCCATAATTTCATAATAATTCCTTTTTTAAAGAACTCCAATTGGAGTCTTTTTCACAATCAAATTTTAATTTGGATTCGACTAAAAAATCTTGAAAATTTATAGGCGTTTTACGTGCCCCTGATGATTTGTGGAAAGAAATTAAATTTTGCTAAAGGTTCTTCAGCCTTAATTCTTCAAATCAAAAGAATTATCGCTTCTTTTATTTTTTTATTATATTGACAGTGGAATCATTACAATATTTAGTATCCACTAGATTAATACCTACTGACTGTATTTACTTATTTAGTGGATCTATTGTTATTATATCTCATGAATTATAATGGCTAATATAACGTAATTTATATTAACGTAATGAGATAAAAGACCAGAGACTTCGACTGAAACATGAGTGGAAACTTCTAAATTAAGAGTTCTATTTGAAAAGTAAAATAATACTTCACCAATACAAAATTCTCATAAATGATGCGAGATGTTTTTAAATGACCAGCTCTGGTCTAAAGGTCTCATAAGATATAACCTGTATATTTACAGGATTCTTTAAAATGTCTAAAAAATATACAATGCATTAGAAAAATCATAAAAATTAGAAATGATAACAATATTATACCAATTTTGAACCACAAGATACAACTTGTGGTTGTAGCATATAAACTTTTTTATTAATTTTTTTTTGAAGGATTTGCACTCCTCTATTTCGATCAGACAGGAAGTTTGTACCATTATATACCTGGCTTATTATATTCGTTGAATTAATATTTAACTCGTTAAGTTGCTTTAAAATGCATTCAGCAATGCTTTCAGTAGAAATACACTGAAAATTAATAATTCCTATTAAATTTTCTTGTATTCTCCAGAAAAAATATAGCGAATAATTATGCTCAGGTTTTCCAAATCTGATGCATCTTTTACCTCATCAGCCTTAAGACAAAAAACGACATAAACTTTTTTTATATTAATCTGAGATGTTTCATGACCATATCTTTCATAATTACTTCCTTTTGAATCTGGGATGATGTATATTGGGCATTTTTGGGTATTTCATAATTTTATTTAATCCAGGATCTTTTTAGATGGTGTACAAAACATTGCTATAAATAGTCCAGAAGAATAAATTATGTTTTCATTTTTTGCAGGATCCGTAATTTTTGTTGAACCAGTCCTAAAAAGGTCACTCATATATATTATGAAATAGTAGTGAATCAAATATTGATTTAAGATAATAAAGACTATATTATCACTTTTATTTTTAAAAAACTTCAATGAACAGTTATAAAAATAAAACAAAAAAATGTTGAAAATACTAGTTAAAAGAATATTAAAATTATAATTGACATATTACATCTATATTCTATATTAAAATAAGTAATTAAATATTTTTTCCTGTTTTTAATACTCCGTACTTTTTTTCACGAGTTTATATACATACAATAATTCTTAATATTATTTTTGTTAATATATATTTCCAATATATTTTTAAAATATAATTTTAGATGTTTAAAAAATTTATATTTTATTTAAAAAGTTTATTTGAGGAATATTTATTAAATAAGTATTCACTCCGATTATTTATAATATTTAAATTTGGGTTTCGAAATTGTCATTATTTTATAGTTTACTTAATATATTAATGAAACCTAAATTACTCCTGGAATAATTTATACAAAAAAATTAATTTTTACACCCCAACCCCCTCTAGAGTGAATTCCATATACGTGCCTGCAAAACGCTGTACACATATTTCCTAGCTTTCCATATGTATTATAATAAAAATTAATTCCCTACCTGAACACATTCATTTAAGTAACGTTAACAGTCTTAAATTTTGTCAAGAAAAACAAACCATTACTTAAGATTCGATATATGCTTTTCGTAACAAGAAATATATTACTATTATAGACGATTTTTATTGAGGTGGGGACACTAACTTTATGCGGCAGAATTTCAATAAATACATAAATTTTACAAACTAAGAGACCAATTTATTTGGCCAAATTATTTTATTTTCTATTTTAAGCAATTATAATTCTTTTAATTTTCTTTTCTATAACTCAATTCGATATTTTTTGTAAATTTTTATCTTAGGGCTGTTACGTAAAAGAGAATAGAACTTAAAAAATTCAAATGATTATAACTATGCATTATAAATATTTATCTTTTTTTTCAACAAAAAGTGGCTATACCAGATAGTAAATTAATATATAATTTTAAAGTTCTTACTTAGTCTTCTATCACTATAATTCCATATTTTAAAGAGGAAATAAGTTAACTATTAATAATTCAAAAATAAATCCTCTTTTCGTTACATCTACTTAATGGGATCTATAAAATGTCCCAGTTGAATTGACTCAAAAATGGCTATTTTAAATACTCGCTTTTCATATTATGTATAAGAATTACCCTTAGAAGAACGGCGCTAATAAAGAAATTAAACTTCTTTCATTAAAAAAATATCCTCTTTACTTTTTTAGATTGATATTATTATTTGATAACAACTTGTCACTGCTCTTTCCTATATTAGGGTTAGAAGTTAAATAATTTTATTTCTTAACAACTTCAGTTGATACGCCTATCCCGATCATATTTTTAAATTAGATTCTTTTATTTCAAAGACTATTTTAATGACATTTTAATCGATTGTAGAAATTGATGAATGTGTACTTTTTGATGTATAACGGATCCTAATTTTCCATCCTAGAAGAGTATTTTTTTTAATAGGAAAATTGATATGCGCTTTCATTTCTGTGCCGGTATTATAAATTAATTCCCTTGCTGAATGTCCCTTGACGCAACTAATATGATAAAATAATTTTTTTTAAATATTATTAAATATTTCCTGCTTAATGTATGATTTAATTTATTCAAATATTTATAGCAAGGGCCCAAAAAATAAGTATGTAAAGAAAAAATAGTATAGCATAATTAAATGTTAACAAAATTTTTAACTACTTTTTCAATAATTTATGCACAGCTAAACAAATAATTACAATTTTCAAAAAAAATGTTTTAATTTTGCAACAAAAATTGTAATCAAAATTAATTATATAAAATTTTAATAAATTCTAGAAAATTTAAAAAATTTTTAATAATTAATCCTTTTTTTATTTGAAACCTCTCATATTGAGCATCTTTCTCGTTCGTTGCTCGATTTTTCTGACATACATATTCATCATTCCTTCGCTATTTTTGCACATCAATCAACAGACCTCTCACAGGTGCTTTTGCTTTATTATTGGCAGCATTTTTTTTATTTTTTATACCTATGGCCATTCCCCACGAACGCAAAATCTGCCCATCCTGCATGAAACCAATACATTTAACAAATGATGGAGAATTTTTTGTTCATGGACCAATCTCTAACAGGTGTCCGCATTCAAAACACACGCCTCTTTCTCAGATCACTTACTCGCTTCCCCCCCCTCTCATAGATTCTCCCTTAAACCAAGTAATCGGTGCCTCATTCTCAGATATTTTTCTTAATTCCACAAAACCAAGTATCATAACGAGAATACCCAAAGGAGCGAGAATACAAGTAGCTAAATCTCTCAGCAACTGCATATCTTCTCTTTTGCAAAATTTTAACAAAGAAGAAGAATGGTTAAAATTTTTAAACTTTGGGTACAATACTTTCAAAATACCTGACATATCACTCCAAAAATCATTAACTCAACAAATAAAAGATGCCTGTTTAAACATCAACACTCATCTTCATGAGTCCCATATCTTCAGACATCCCATAAACAAAAAAAAAATAACCCCACTTCAACAAAAAGCCTCATTGATTTCGAAGAAAATTGACAGTCTTAATATCAATGGGGCCCTCAAACTCATTTCAACCAATGACACTCTGGCGGAATCCAATTTAGAAACCTTAATTAAGCTTCGATCAAAGCATCCCACAACAACATTTATGCCAATATTGCCCCAACCCTTCTCCCATTGTGCAGCAGATTTCACACAGGAAGAAGTAAGGAAAGCAATCCTATCTTTTCACCGGGATTCGGCTCATGGTCTAGATGGGATTAGACCAATTTTTTTACAGGACATTACCTCTCCTGTGATCTGTACACAGGTTTCAATTCTCACTAAAATCACAAACTTAGTCAACAAAATCCTAAATGGAGACGTACCCAGCTTTATTACCCCCTTACTATTCGGTGCCAGACTCATCGCACTCCAAAAACCAAACAAGGACATTCGGCCCATCGCCATTGGTTCAACTTACCGTAGATTGGTCGCTAAATTAATCGCATCTAGAATCAAACACGATGCCGCACACATTCTAAGCCCCTATCAACTTGGTGTAGGGATACCTGGTGGGTGTGAAGCTGCTGTGCACTTAACAAGAATTCACCTTGAAAATAACCCAAAAAACGAATCCCTAGTAAAAATTGACTTCTCTAACGCCTACAACACTCTTTCGCGCAACACGTTCCTACATTCAACTTGCTTCCATTTCCCCGCTTATACCAAATTTCTTTTCTCTTGCTACCAATCACCAACAATCTTACAATTCAACAAAGAAAAGATACTTTCTGTCGAGGGTATCCAACAAGGTGACCCTCTCGGATCCCTTCTCTTTAGTCTTGGAATCAATGACATGATAAAATCAATAAACTCTTCATGTACTCTATCGCTCCACGCTTGGTATATTGATGATGGAATCTTGAGTGGTCCCAGTAGTGAAATTGTCAAAGCTGTCACCATAATTAAAGAAATGGGCACAGCCATTGGACTTTCGCTTAACCAGAGCAAATCTGAATTCTCACTTTTAAATTCTAATGCTCCCAACACTCACGATTTCAAATTCACATCAAGCGTTGAATTAACACATCTAGGATCGCCTGTTGGAGGACACGAGGCAATAAGCACCTTTCTTCATTCCACACTTGACATACTCCTTAAACTGGAGGACATCTTTACACTTCTTCCATCACACAAGTCCTTTTTTTTGCTAAAAAATTTCTTTTTTATACCAAGGATTCTTTACGCACTTCGGTCAACACCAATTTTTAAATATCCTATTCCTCTCCAAACTTACGAAAAAGGAATAAAGGACTTAACCGAAAAAATAGTAAATATCAGATTCAACGAAACCGCTTGGGCCCAAGCAACTCTTCCAACCAAATTTGGTGGTCTCGGCATCAGATCTCCACTTGACTTAGCAACAACTACTTTCATATCGAGTAGTCTCTTGACAAAGCTAATAACCACCGCCCATAATTCTAAAGAAGACCTTTCCTTAATCGTTGCTATGGATATTTGGAAAACAAGGATCAATGCTGATTCTCATCCCCCCACAACCCATAAACAGAAAGACTGGGATGCACCAGTGGTTGCTCGCTGCGTTGAAACTCTCTTATCTAGCATGCAATCTACCGACCGCACCCTATTCTCTTCCTTGCTCAATGGTACGGGACATGAGTTTCTTGAGGCCATCCCATCTACCAATCTTCAGCTTCAACTATCCAACAATGAATTTACCCATGCCATCGGCATTCGTCTAAATTGTTCCATCACTCACCCCCACATCTGCTCAGGGTGCAACTCGCCAGTTGACTCGAAGGGTAGACATAGTTTACATTGTCGCTCCTGCAATGGACGATTCATCAGACACAAGCAATGTAATACAATCATCCAACATGCTCTGAAATCCGCCCAAATTCCTTCCACGTTAGAACCACAGGGTCTTTTTAGATCTGACGGTAAACGTCCTGATGGGATCTCTCAAATCTTATGGAGGAGAGGCCAACTTTTGGTATGGGACTATTCCTGTATTGACCCCTTGGCCCCATCCAACCACGCCATCAACATCCTTGACCAGAAGGAACAACTTAAAATTTCTAAATACACAGAAATAATAAACGATCATTGCTTCATCCCAATCATATCAACCACTCTTGGCACCTTCGGCAAACTCGCCTTAGCATTTTTCAAAAACTTAGGATCACAAATCAGCAAACTCTCAGAAGAACCACGAGAGGGTTTTTTTCTTCGTCAACGATTATCCATAGCGATTCACAAAGCTAATTATATCAGTTTCAATGGTAGCCTTCAAAGAGCTATCATAGACAACGCTTACATCCCTTTTTCATTTTTGTTTCCCTGCGTCACACCATCTCCGTTCTTTTTTTTAATAGTATTATTATATATTTTTCAAACATTTTTAAATATATTAAAATTTATTATAATGAAAATTTAAATTATTATACCTTATATTGATAATAAACTATATAATTTTCATTATCAAATAAGAGAGATTAATTTATTTTAAATCATTTTTTTAAAATATTTACTCAAATTGGACATGGTTTACTATATTTATAAAATTGCAATGTGCAATAATCTGTTGAAGCTTTACTACGAGGTTTTTATACAATAAAATTATTTCTAGAATCTTTGTTAAATTAAATTTGGATAATTAAAAAAAAAAAATTGAACTAACTATAGAAATAATCTTCTTCGTTTGGAAAAAAAATTTGAGCGTTTTAATTTTCAAACTATTTGGAATTGAAAACATAAAAAAGGATGTTCATGTTAATGATTACAATAATATTAATTGCTTATATTTATAAATTATTTTAGAAAGATTATTCCTAAAACTAGGTGAATTAAATTTTATTATTAAAATTAATTTGGTATAAATTATAAAAATAAGGTTTTTCTCATTATTCTCTTTATAACTAATTATTTATTTAAGAATTTGCTCCAAAGGTTCTCTAATCTTTAATAGAATTTTATGTGGCTCATCAATTTAATTTAAAATATCCAGATTGAATGTGAAATTGTTCAAATATTTGAAGGATAGATTAAAGAGCGACTTTGCACCAATTGCTTTTTAAAAATGTTTCATGGAAAATGAAAAATCTTCACATTCATTATCGAATGCATGTGATTCCTACGGCATTCTTGCTTCGGTTCATTTTAGCCTTTGTTTAAATTAATATAGGAGTATTTTTTCACTTTCATGATCTAGATAATAAGGAGAAATAAAAGCAGCTTACTTTACACGTTTTCTTAATAAAAATATAATATCGTTATTGTTATTTTAATATAGATATTTAAGAATAAAGTTATAGTGTGTAAACTTTTATTTGAAAGATTACTAGATTTTGTCGCTATATGAACCATTTAAATTTTCCTTAAATTTTTCAAATATTTCATCAAAATCTTCTCCCAATTAAGATCTAAGAATATGCATATTTATTTTGCTTTTCTAATGAGTGTTATTGGCTCGTTGTAAATTACATAATTTATTTTCCTTGGCAATTTTGAGTTTTTTATATTAAAATCTAATAATTTTTAATTTTATGAAAATATTATTTTTTTTAAAGTTATTGTTAGCTTTAAAATTTCTTTTTCATTTCAATATGTTAATTATTCATCAAAATAATTAACTATTTATGAATATCATCCTACTTTGATTATTTTTTTATTTTACGAACAATCTTAAATATTAATAATTTAATTATTTGTAAAGGATATTACATTTATTATTGTATAATTAATAAAAAATAATTACCTATATACTATTATAAATGATATTATTTCTAGTTTTGTTTAAATTTTATTCATATTTTGTTATGTTATAAAGGATATTACATTGATTATTGTATAATTAATAAAAAATAATTACCTATATACTATTTATTTTATAAATGTTATTATTTCTAGTTTTGTTTAAATTTTAATTATTACATATTTTGTTATGTTATAAAGTTCCTAAATCTACAATAAGTTTGAATATTTGATATTTAAATTTTAAGAATACAATTTTATATTATAAATTTTTTTAGGTTTAAAGAATTTTTTTTATTCATTATAGTATTCTTAACTTATTTGAGATAAATTAACCTTTTTCTGTTATTAATTTGTGATGAATGAGTAGAAACGTATAAATTCCTGAACCAATAATTCATCTTTTATTTTAGCCAAAATTTCTGAAATAAGTAATACATTTTACGTTACTGTATTGATATTTAAATAATAAAATAAATTTTTTTTCTTAAAGGCTCTGTTGCTTTTAATTTGATTAAATATCACCTAAAATAATGACTATTTGGATAAATCAATTTGAATTATATTTTAGAAATGTTTCTGATGGATCGAAAAAATGTATATAGGAAATATGAGAAGTGAATCGGCCCAACCCGGAAATATTTTTAAAAATATTTTATGCCCGACCACAGGCTTAAGGCCCGGCCTGCAGGTTACTGCCAAAATAATTAAGTGTAGGATTCATATATTTTCAAAAATTTAGGAGAATAAGTTTTAAATTATCAATACGGTATAGGCAAATACTATCGATATGAAATTTATTTAGCAAATTTTGCTTAATTAGAGGATTTTTTGAATTCCTTTCAATATTAATAAAATTAAAAAAATATATTATTCCAGCCAGTCTAGAATACCTAACTTATAAATTTCAATTAATTTTAACAATATACTTTAGCCTATTTTATATTTTAGATGAAAAATATATATAGAAAATTGATATAAATTAAGGGTATTTCAAAAAATCTTATGCAAAATTGTCTGAAATTTACAGTGTAGGTATTCTATACATGTTGGAAACATCTCTTGTCTTTTTCAAATTTTAATATTTGAATCTCAATGAGTTCTATATCCCATACCACATACATAGGTTAACAATTTTCAACAGGCCCAAATGACTCCTTCAGCTGGCTCCTATCTAACACTTTAATAAATAAATTATTAATATATTAATGTTTTTGATTTGAATGACCAATTTTGTTTTATATAACCAAAGTAATCCTCTTAATAGAAGGGGAATTTTATACAAGGTTTATGAAATAAAACCGTAAGAGAATTGAAGTGCCATATAATTATAACATTTTATAGAAAATTATAGGGCCTTCTATGCTAATATGTATTTGTAAATAAAAAAATCTTTAGTATTTTATTTTTAAAATAAATTTAAATAGGACATTCTTTCGGGATAAAAAGAGTCCTGGGGTTGGTTAAATGTACTTTTTTATATTATTGGAGATTATTTTTATTTTAAGTTTATAAAAATCTTCTAAAGCTAGAATTTTAGAATAAATGAGAACTAATTAAATTTAATCGTTTGAAGCCCTCCTACCCCTTCTTGATAACATGTCCTAAATTATTTTTACAATATGTAATAAATAAATATCTAAATATTATTCTTAGAAAAGAAAACTAACGAAAAAAGTAATAATTAATTTTATTAAATTCGAAAAGGAATGATGACTAAAATTTTTTCTAATCTTTTTAGGGACCAATGTCCTGGCGAAAAGTACAGTATTTTGTTTATAATAGAATGATTAAGAAATTGTAGTATTTTGTTAAAATTAAATAATATCTAATAAGTATCATCCCCTCAGTCGCAGTGTTGTTAAACGGCTCATTTTGAGCCGTTTTTTTAAAACGGCTAACTCAATATTTTAGCCAGAAAAATATTGCCTAAGCCTCGAGATTTCGATAATATATGCCTAGACCTATGTTTCTTCTATGAGCAAAATCTTGAGGCTTGCGTAATATTTTTCTGGACGAAATATTGAGTTAGCCGTTTTTTAAAATCGGCTCAAAACGAGCCATTTAACAACACTACTCAGTCGTTCTATTTTATTTAAAATTTAATGATTTTCTTTCATTTAATTACTTGTGCAAAGGGATATTATGTTATAAAAAAAATCACACTCCTTTTTTTAAAGTTACGATTATAGATTCATATCATATTTTATTTAAATTCTTTGTCTACTCTAATTATATACACAATAAATTAAATAAGGTCATTTTTGAGGATATATCTTTGATTTATTAAATCACAAATAAATTGTAAATTTTCCCAATTTTTAGTTGCTAAATTAGAAGGTAAAAATATATCTATCATAATTCTATTGTAAATTATTTATATTCAGAGTTGCTAGAATGCCTGCTACTAAATGTCATTTTTAATGTATTAATATTTTTAAAAAAATTAAATCGTCTTTATTTAATAATATATTAGATATGTCATTGCCTATTATCTTAAAATTATTTAGAAGCTATGATATTTTAAGAGAAATAAAACTTTATCTATTTGAAATTTAACCTTACTAGGGTTAAATATAAAATTTATAACCTTTGTTTGAAAATCTTTAAATCAAGATTGATAGCAGAATAACATTCCTTTTTTTCTTTTGGCTAATGCTAGTATCTTTTCAGATTTTCTAAAGATCCTTTTGAGTTTTATATAACAAGCAAAATTAAAAGTTTTATCTTTTTCAAAAATTAAATTTTTTATATACTGAAATAATACTAATTAATTTGACAAAAAATTCGCAAAAAGTAAACGAATTAAAACTCAGAACATATAAAAAACGATGTGAAACTTAGAAAATTAATTAAAAATAATTTTTAACTTGCCTTAGAAGAGTCTTGCTCTATGTAATGAATAATTAAATGTGAAATCAATAGTAAGAAAATTTAATATTAATATCTAAAAAAAATTAATAAAGCATAAATATTGTATTTTTTGTATGCCCCTCCCACTATAAATATAAATGCCACCTTCTACACATACCCCAAATAGAAAGAAATGTCCAAACTGTGGGCTACATACCTTAATCAACAAAAACGGGGTAACTGGTGTCATTTGTCACATCAGTCACCTTTCACATATCCTATCCCCCCTCCATTTTCTCTATTGCATTTAACATTAACACCCCCTTCGCATATCCCAGCTCTCACCACAATTAATAATTTATCTGTTAATGAGGACTCACCCTGTACTTCCAATAAGTTAATACCTTCCTTCTCCGATGAATTTACAAATTTACCTAAATATAATATTATCTCAAGAATCCCCCGTGGAGCCAGGCTTCTTGCGGCTAAATAATATAGTAAAATTATTAATAACCTTCTAACCAATTTTAACTCCCCACAGCACTGGAAAATGTTTTCTTATTTGGCTTCCATGCCTTTCTACAACAAAAGCAAGCTGTCCCTCACAGAATTGTTAAATTATATATTTTTTTAAAATTCCGTTATGTATAACAAAAATTACTTATATCTTATTGTAATACAGTATATTTATTTTTTAAACATATCATATATTATTACTTAGACCCAGCATACAATTTATTATACTAATGTTATTTTATACAGTTTTTATATAGATTTTATTTTACAAATAGTTTACATGATATTTTTAATATATATTTATAAATATAATTTAATATTAGCAATTTTTTTTTACCCCAACCAAAATTTAATTGAATTAACACTAAATTATAATTAATGATACAATATTTTTAAATGTTAAAAAAAATAAAATAAATAAATTTATATTTTTATTTGCACTTTAACATGAATGTTGATTAAACTTTGTTGAAACCTTAAGAAAACTATATTAAATACAAAAAATAAAAATTAAACAGATTATTCCAAAAATTAGAATTTGGATTTTTTTAATCATATAATATCGTTATATTTTATTTTATTTACTTTTGTTTTTTTTTAAAATTTATATAAATAATCCATTATTTTCATTGCATTATTTCTTTAATTTAACAAAAAAATTGTTATAGATATTTAAGGGAAACATAAAATTTCAAGAGTTTTTAGCCTAGAAAAACTATAGAATACATGAAATAAATATTAAATTGATTATTTTTAAAAAAAAGAAGTTAATTTATGTTTTTTGATTAATTAATATCGGTATATTTTATTTACTAAAATTAGAGTCAATTAAAGAAACTATCTCAGTAGAAGGTATTAAAATTTATTGAAATTATAAATAATTATGCATGCATAATGTTTTTACTCTAAATGAGGTGCAATGAAAAAGTTTCATAAGGTGGAAATTTTAAAATGATGTATAAATATAACGCGAGGAAAATTTGAAATCGACAATATCTAAGCCATGAATGTAATAAATAAATGTAAATTACAATATATTTGCGATAAATTGTACATTGGCGATATATCTTAATTATTCCAGAATACCCTGTTTTTTTAAATTAATATATTTTGTTTTTATTGCAAATAACATTTTAATAAAAATAATTTTAGCCCTAGCAAACTCTACAGGTAATATAAAGTTCTGATAAACAATAATTTGATATATATATATAAAGGAATGCATATTATAGATCCATATATATTTTTTGAATTAATATAATATTTATGGCTGTTATTATTGAGAGAATTAAGTTCCATAAAAAAAGCTTATTTTAAAAAAATTGCATATATTGTTCATATTCTTGTTTTAAACGTTAAATTTAGATTTGTTAAAAAATCTCGACTTGATCGATTACCGCTAAATCAAAATTTTATCCAGAAAATAATTATACGCAAGCCTGAAGATTTTGCTCATAGATGGAACAAAGATTTGGGCATCTATTGGATAAAATCTCAAGGCTTAGGCAAGATACTTCTGGGTAAAATATTGAAATCGACGCAAATCGGGGTCGTTTAACATCATAAATTTTTTTATTTAGAAAGAAATTAAGGATATATTTTTCATTGAATATTTATTTTATAAATAAATGCCATCCAGGCTTTTGTTTCTTTACCTATATCGCTCTGCCAATTTAGAATATTTAAAAAATGGTTATAAACTAATTAAATATTGATTTTTTAATTTTATCTCCTCTACTTATAAGTGTAATCTATTTATTATTACTAAATAGTAACGGGAGAGCTAGATAAAATAACATCAAAAAGGAAGAATTTTAAATGCAATTGCAGTAGTTTTAATATCCTTAATTGATTCCGAGAAGTTTGTTTTCGTTATTTAAGGGAAACATGGAAAATCAATAGTTTTAAACCTAAGAAGAAGACATGAAAAATCTATCGTATAAAAAACTCTTATGCTTTAAAATTTCCCTTTATATATTTTATTGGCACATTATATCTTGAGTATTGAAAAAAAAACTAGTTAATGTTTGTTAAAATTTAAAAAAATTATACAGAATACATATTAAAATAAAAATTAAATTGATTAATAGTTTTCTTTTTCAAAAATATTAGTTGATTTAGATTTTTTAAATCATTTAATATCTATATATTATATTTTACTTAAATTAGCCAATAACTTGCGATAAACATTAAAGCCAGTGTTACAAGGCTTAAAGTTTCATTAATTAATCAATATTTTCATAAAAATATGAATATCTTTGAATCTCCATATATTTATACCACCATAATATCGGAAAAAAACTTAATAAATAAATAATTCTTAAAACCTCTTCTCTATAATTTATGCAAATAAAATACAATGATAATATAGCTTTTTAAATATAATGCTAAATAGTAAAGACTCATACAATTTGCTGAAAGTAGAAATGATTTTATATTGAGCTTAGGGTTCCTAAACGGCTCGATTTGAGCCATTTTTATAAATGACTAACGTAATACTTTAGCCAGAATAATTTCCAAAGCCTAGAAATTCCACCCCCTAGATGTCCAACCAAACCGTTGTGTCATCTTTGAGCGAAATCTTTAACCTTGTAATATTTCTGGCGAAATTATGAGATGAGTTTTTAAAAATCTTATATTCAAATCGAGCCGAGACTAATTACATTTTCCAATACACACATTATAAGCAAATAATACTGAATCAAATATCAAATAAATCTCTTCTTTTTTTAAAAATTATTCAATTTGATTTTTCATTTTATCATTTGCAGTATATTTAAATAAGAAATATTTTTATTCAGTTCATTAAAAATTAAACTTGGTTCAATTTCTTTTATAAATATTATTTTTATTAAAACTAGACATGATCATCATATAAATTGAAAAAATAAATTATAAAAGTTGAATTTTATAATAATAAAAATTGTCTTTAATTCATATTGGGAAAAAATATAATTTAAAAAAAGAAAATACCAATATTAATATTCAAAGAAATCATCCTGTGAATGAGGCTACTCGTGAAGCTAATGTAATTAGTCATGTGGCAATGACTTTATTTTGCTTGAGAAAAAGTTTTCGTGAGGTTTATCCGTAAGTTTACGAAAGTGAGATCCAAGATCCTTAAATATTGATAAAGCGCGATTCCGAAATGTTGTTAGTGGAAATTACCGGGAATGATAGCAATTCATCAGTTCATTAAAAATTAAATTTGGTTCTTTTATAAATTTTATTTTAATTAAAACCAGTTGTGATCATCACAATTTATATTAGTCAAATTTCTAGACTATGCAATATATTTTTTGCTAAAGTTTTGATTTAAACATTTTCAAAATTGTAACTTAACAACTACCTTTCCAATAAATAAAATTTCTTTCATTTACTTTTATTAATATAAACTACATTATACTTTACTTGTTTCTGAAACAATTAATAACTTATCTTTTATTAATTAGGGATTCTTAAAATATCTACCCTATTTTCTATAATATAAATATATAAAAGATAAAGAAATTTTTTTAAATTTTTATCAATTTGTAAATTTAAATCACTTTTTATATAAAGATTGTTATTTTATTAATATATTTATTGGAAATTTTGTATAAATTTTTAAATAATTATAATTGGTACAATTTTTTTAAAGTATAATTTTAAATTGTAAAATTAATAATTTAGTTTCTCTTCTCAGACTTTAACCAAAATATTATTATATGAACCATGTGGTTTGGTTTTAAGAGGGCAAAAGGTTTGGGCATCTCTTAGTAAATTTTCTAGACTTTGAAATATTATTTTATCTAAAATGTGATTTCGCCATTTTCATAAATCAACTGAATCTAGCTTTTTAACAACTTCGTTTCCAATAAATAAAATTAAAATGTTATATTTTTATAAATATAAACTACAATATATTTTACTTGTTTCTGAAATAATTTAAAATATATAAAAAATATTTATACAAAAATGCGCTAATCTTTTAGAATATATACAATATCCTTTCTCTGTTTTAGAAACAATTAATATCTTAGCGAAATCTTTGATTGTGGATTCTTTAAATGTGTATCCTATTTTTTTAATTCTTTTTAATATAAATTGAAAGATATTCAGAATTAAATTTTGAATTGTTATAAATTTTTAGATTTAAATTAATTTTTCTATAAATATTATTATTTTATTTGATACTTTTTATCAAAACTATTTTATGCGAATATCGAATTTAAAAATATGGTTTTAACTAAGTTAATATTTATTTCTTAATTTTATCTTTCAAAGTGTATTCAATTTATTATTACCAATAAGAAACTATAAAAAAAATGAAAGAAATAAATAGCACATTATTTTCATGTATTGGTATAATTTCACTTAAATTGAAATAAATTCATAAAAATTCAAAAGTTTATAGCCTAGGAAAAAGACTTGAAATATTTATCTTATAAAATAACTCATTCTCTTTATATTATTTATTGCCACTTTATCTTTAATATTGAAAAAACTTTCAAATTTGTTAAACCTTAAATAAAATCTATATAATACATGAAATTAATATTAAAATGATAATTTCAAAAATATAGGTTAATTTATATTTTTTAAATCATTTAATATCGGTATATTTTATTTTACTAAAATTATGGCCCAAATAAAGAAATGACACTGTAGAAAGCATTAAAATTTATTTTAATTATGAATAATTATGAATGACATTATCAAATACACTTTATAAACAATCCTTTAAGCCAATCTTATTGATTTTGAATCCTTAAATTTTCAAATTGATTTCAATATATTTTGTTTTTTTTCTTTTGACTTATTTGCACGATAGATTTAAGATTGGAAATTCATTATTAATTCTTAAAAAAAAATTAATTTACCTTCTCTTCGCAATTAACCACTTCAACCAAAATGATATTATCTAAGCCATGAGATTTTGCTTATAGAGAGCAAAGGTTTTGAACATTGTTTAGTGAAATTTCCAGACTTTGAATAATTTTTTTTGCTAAAGTTTTGATTTCGCCTTTTTGAAAATAACATTAATCTAGGTATTTAATATCTTTCTTTCCAATAAATAAAATTTCTTATAAAAAAAATTGCTCATATTTTTATAAATATTAACTACTTTATACTTTACTTGTTTTTGAAACAATTAATAACTAAAACTTTTATTAACTAGGGATTCTTAAAATATCTGCCCTATTTTCTATAATATAAATATATAAAAAATATTTAAATTTAAAGCACTTTTTATAGATTGTAATTTTATTAACATTTATTTTTTATTAAAATTCATTTTTTTTAATGTAAAATTAAATAAATTTTATTCTAAATGGGATTTATCATTTATAAATTATAATCAGACTTTTAATTTTTAACCTATCTCGTTTAATGCACATTTTTTGAATTTAATAAATATGATCACAAACTTAGTAAATATTTATTTCTTAATATTTTTTATCTCTCTCTCTCTCTCGACCCAATGTATAATTTATTTATTATTACTAAAACTAATGCATCAGAAGGTTCATCAACACTAGGTAATACATTATTTTGATTGCAATTGCAATAATCTTTTTTTTTTTAAAATTAATTAAGAGAAATTTGATTCTTAAAATATCTACCCTATTTTCTATAATATAAATATATAAAAGATAAAGAAATTTTTTTAAATTTTTATCAATTTGTAAATTTAAATCACTTTTTATATAAAGATTGTTATTTTATTAATATATATTTATTGGAAATTTTGTATAAATTTTTAAATAATTATAATTGGTACAATTTTTTTAAAGTATAATTTTAAATTGTAAAATTAATAATTTAGTTTCTCTTCTCAGACTTTAACCAAAATATTATTATATGAACCATGTGGTTTGGTTTTATAGAGGGCAAAAGGTTTGGGCATCTCTTAGTAAATTTTCTAGACTTTGAAATATTATTTTATCTAAAATGTGATTTCGCCATTTTCATAAATCAACTGAATCTAGCTTTTTAACAACTTCGTTTCCAATAAATAAAATTAAAATTGGTTATATTTTTATAAATATAAACTACAATATATTTTACTTGTTTCTGAAATAATTAAAAACGTAATCTTTAAAGCATTAGTCCAATTCTAATATATATAAAAAATATTTATACAAAAATGCGCTAATCTTTTAGAATATATACAATATCCTTTCTCT